AAAGGAGGGAGGGAAGGAGGGAAGGAGAGGGGGAAAGAAGGCAGGCAGGCGAGAGGGAGAAGGAAGGAAGGAAATCAATATATAATTTAAAATCTAGGATTATAGGATTTGAAAGGTAATAAATAGTATGGGTAGAAGATGTACATCAGAAGAGGAAGAGGAAAAGGAGGGAGGGAGGGAAGGAAGGGAGGGGGAGGGAAGGGAGGGAAGGCAGGCAGGCAAGTATTTCAAACTCCTCCTTTTTGGTATGCAGCCATTTCTCTGTTGCATTAAAATGCTCTGGGAACTTGTGAAGGTGAAGTTAGCTGCAGGGGCAAGTTTGCAACTGGGTGTTGTTTTTTTAGTAGCATGTTGCTTCAGGGGTAGGGTGGGGAATCACAAAAGATAACGTATACAGAATGAGAAATTGAAAGCTCCAGGAAGAGGACACCGAACTTTGGCATGGGGAGGAAGAATAATGGATGGCTTTAGTGGAAGAGTCTGGAGGAAGGCAAGGGACTGATTCCCACCCATGGGCACCCAGACCATCCACACAGGGTGCAGAAATGTATCTGGAGCTTCCTCACAAAAGCGGAAAACTTCATAAATCAAAGGAAAAGTGTGTTCTGTGTTGGTTTTGTCAGAGTTTCCAATCAACTGGGAGAGAGTCAGAAACAAATCAACTCATGTCTCCCAAAGGGAATGACACTGAGAGAACAAGCAGGCCGAGAGTCTGTCTCAAGTAGTGTGCAAGATGGTGGTCTGGAAATGTGCAAGTTTTCACATAATCCCAGGGAGGTTTATTCCCTACAGCAATCCATGCCACCATTAGGGGAAACATTGGTCTCTTACAGTTTACATGACCCTTTGAGACACAAACCAGCAAACCACATTTGAACCAAGTTTATTGTATGAACATGGTCTGTGAGGTGAGCTTATGGTTCATTGTGTCGTACAAAGTTAGGAAATTGGATTGAGTTAAACCGCATGAGTATGCTGAACAAATATCAGCTTCCTTAATCTTCTGTTGCCAGCGTGAGCGAGTCAGATGGAATCAGTCGTACCTGTTCCATGATCCCAATGTTAGATGCCAGGAAATTGTCATTATCCTATCTCAAGGGCCTTATTCCACCCTGCATGTCACTCTAGCCCTTTTAATGTATCCTCCATTGCTGAGCATTGATTGCTCAGTCAGGCTGATGGCTGTAATCATCTACTTCACAGCTGCTTAAATCCAAAAATCTTCTGGCACTTAGCCAAGCCTGGGTGCAGCCTGTTCTAAAGAGATCCCAAAGTTCCCCACAAGATCCAGATGTCCAAATAACCCTCCATTGGAAGACGTAATTGCCAGGCATCAGGAGTTGGAAAGAACAGATGAAAACCACAATTCTTTCCTTGTCATTTATTACCACTTGGGTCTATCTCACTGTTCCCTGCAACCAGCATTTGTTCTGAGCCAAAAGGGTCTTTGCATTTCTGTTGTAGCTTGAGTTAATCCCTTTCACCTTTCCTTGCTGTAAAACCATAAACTTGTTTTGGATTCTGAGAAGTCAGAGGCATCTGCAGGATCCCAAGTTTTTGTCAAAACAACTGAAGCAGTGTTGTGCCACACTGATGCAAGTTCGGCCCCTTGGTGCGCGTGTTGCTGCCCCATGCTTGTACAAGAGAGGTGAAGCTCCCATCATGAGTGTGCAATAAATTTTTCATCATTGCACATCTGCTACCCTGCTGATGTCACTGTGAAAAACCTTAGTATGGTAAAATTAAATGGCCTGTTAAATAGAAATCAAATTATAATTTCCAAGATGGCAGCTGATGTTGTAACAACAACTACCACCTTGCTGTGGTGAGGGGGCTTGTGTGCCTCAATGATACCTAGGACCTATGTTGGTGGCAGCTTCATTTCTGGTAATTTTAACCATACCAGACAGGTCTTGGTAGAGGGGCCAGATCCACAGAAAAGAAAAGTTCCAGACCAGATTAGTCATCACCGAGGTTAACAAAGACCACATCTGGTTCTATTGCTCCTGGCATCAGCTGATAAATAGGCTATAGGATTTGGCTTGTCCTGCTTGGCCGCCAGGGTGGTCAGCTGAAAATCAGCTGGAAGATCCAGCAAAGCTAAAGGCTTCTTTTGAAAAACCAAGCAATCATGAAAGATTTCAAAACAGAACGTCTGAAATTTAGAAACATAGATACTTAGACTCAAAAACCTATGAGGAGCAATTCATGGGCCAACAAGGGTTTACTCTTAGAAAAAAGCTTTTATAAATAACGAATTGCAAGAATTGGAAAAACTAGCTGAAAAAGCTGGTAGTATGGATCACAACAACACAAGGTCATCAAATGAATGAATTTTTGAAGAGCAACATCAAATTCTATTAACTTCTGAGATGGATATCAGTGATGGGGAAAGATATGAAAACACTGAGCAAAGGAATGAGAAATACTTGTTCTCTGGGTGGTCAATGGAACTGAAAGGAAAATTATTGAACATATGAAAAATTAAAAATCATAGCCTGTGCTGATTAATGACCCCAATAAAATTATTTCATTTCAAATCATAGGGAAAGGTCTCCACTATTGAAAAAGATGACTAAACAGAACTATCAAAATTTTTGAAGAAATATTGGGCAGTAGAAAATATTGAAACATACACCTTGGCTGAAGTGAACCAGCAAATTCATAGCACAGCAGCTGTGATAACATCAGAGTTGGAATACAATGTTATGAAATATAAGCAACAAAATCAATCACAAAATGAAATATTTGATTGGAAAGAAAATTCAATACATTGCAAGCTGATTATCAGCAATTTGAAGAATTTGAAGAGTAAAACAAAAGAGATTAAAGAAAATTTACAGATATAATCTTGACACTAAGAAGATTACAGAAATCTAAGAAGAATTAAATAGCAAGTCATGCCTATTTCAAACAAAAACTGAATTATATAATTTAGAATGAATCAATTTTGACAACATTAGCCATTTTGAACAAGCCAGCATTTGTTTTATACAGCATTACTGAGGAATACTACAGACATAGATACTTGTCATGATAAAGGTGAACAGAGATTAATGGATCAACAAAATTTTGAACAAACATCTGGGATAATCAGAAAGAACACAATAAAGATGCAAAATAAAAAGAACATTTGCTCCATCATAATGGATGTTAAAGTTGTAACATGATAAATTATTAAAAAACAAGCAAAGAGGTTGAGGAACTGGAGTGCACCAAGATGAAATACATGGATTTTGACTTAAACATCTGATGACTCTCCATGAAAGATTGGCTATGCAATTAAATGTTCAATTTAATACAACATTTTTAATAATAAAAGACAAGGGTGTAAGTGGAAGCAATTACAGACCAATTGCTTCCTTGCCAGCATGCAAACTGCTAATTGGTATGTTAATAAATGTGACTGAGTTACATATTCAAAATTTCATTGTATCCACCTGAACAAAAAGGTAACTGCCAATATTTATGCAGAGCAAAAGCTCATTTGCTAAATGTTAAAATGGTAATAAACAACTCCAAGTGAAGAGATACCAATGGATTGATTAAAAAAGGTATCTGATTCCCTCTCAGAGAGATTTCTGTTGGATACAGAAATGTTTGGAAATAGTTGGCACTAGTGCAAATATCCAGAATTCTGGAAAAGCAGCAATGAAAAAAATGGAAAGCAATGTTGATGGTAAAATGATAAAGAAATTGGAAATGTAAGCATCAGGAGAGATTTTTTCAAGGGGATTCATTGACTCCATTGCTTTTTACCATCTCAGTGATACCCTTTACTCATATCCTGAATAAAACTAAACTTGGATATCAACTTTCAAAGCAAACAGAAGAAATCCCATCTGTTATGCTTATGTGATTCGAAGCTCTAGGGGGAAAAAAAAAATAAAATTCTTACTTAAAATGTAAGGCTATCTATTGAGGAAATCAAAATGGAAGTTGTATTTGACAAATGTGCAACGCTCAGCATAAAGAAAGGAAAATTGAACACAATGAAAGGGTAAAATTCAAAAATGGGGATCTCGTTAAACCTTTGCCACAGAAGAAAGCTAGCAATATCTAGGAACACTCGGATCAAACAACATATTGCATGGGGAAGTTCAAAAGAAAACCAGTTTAGAACATTTAAAATGAATGCTAAACTTTTTAAATTCAAAGTTAAATAGTGGAAATACAATCAAATCCTTAAATACATGGGTGATACCAGTAAGCAGATATACTGATGATGTAGTAGACTGGACAAATTGGAGGCTGTGGTTTACTGCAGGTAAAGCAGGCAGTTGAAGAAGAAAAATGTGGATTAAATGATTACATCAAGCAAACAAAGAGAAGATGCTCACTGAAGAAAACATCCTCAAATGGCATATGCAAAACAGGACCATCAAAATGAACAGTTGAAAAACTGTTTAGAAAATTGGAGAAGAAAACTGTAACATGGCCAATGCATAAAAAAAATTGAAAACAAAGTGGGCGAGACCAGGAATTGTCAATAGCTGTCGGGAAGGAAATGGATGGCTTAATTTCTGCAAACAAGAACAAGCATTGCAAACAAACTTGATGAAATCAAGGATTCATCAGCACCAAAGGCAGACTTTTTTTGTAAAAAAAAAATAAAACCGTGGATTACATCATTAATGGATGCAACATTAATTCAGGCTGTCTATAAACAATGTCATAGCAAAGTAGCCATTATGAGCCACTGGTATTTGTGGTAAAACTATCATTTCCCAAATGTGGTATGATCCCAAAATAAACTTGTTGAAAATGTTAACATTTTGTGAGGTTTTCATATACAAACAGTTATCTGGAAAAGAACACAGCAGATATAACGGAAAATAGTAATTTTTTATAGTTGTATCTGGGAACAACAGAAATAAAAGAAAAGCAGTGGGAAAAGTTATAAAATATAGATATTTAACTATTAAAATAGATTGAAAACAGAAAAGATCTTGCAAAATCATCCTTACAGTTATCAGTACATTTGGCAGAATAACAGGCTGAACACATTTACAAAAACAAAATACTTGGTTATTGCCAAAACAACCCCAAAACTCATTTTGCTGGCAATCTTACAATATCGCTTGGATATTTCCTAGGTTCCTGGCTGGAACTCACATTTCCGACTCGCATTTCCAGTCAAAGATGTGATTTTTTGTTTGTTGTATTATGTAATACCTTGATGAATAACAAGTAATAATACCAACTTTATTCCAAAGGAAGTCAGAGCAATACTTAAAATAAATATTTTACTGAAAGATCCCAGGCATTTTCCACTCACTGTATTCACACAGTCTGCTAAAGCATGGTTTAAGCAAGGCTTGTTGAAAAAACCCACAATGGATGGGTTCAAGCATCACATTAACCCATAAAGTATGGTGTACAAATCATAATCGCTGTTTTCACACAACATACTAAACTAAACCAAAAGAGACCATGTTATAATTTAGAGAGATGTGTGAATACAGCCTCTGGACTGGGGTGGGGGGAAGTCTTTAGGGAGTGTTCAATCCAAGCTACCCAAACTATATAAGGTTAGCAGGAAGCAAAGGTTGTATACAAACAATCTAGTAGGGTTAAAATTGTCCTAGTTAAGTAGGTTGAATGAGCTCTAGAAAATGTTACTTTACCCAAGATTTAGAACAGCACTGCTGCTGGATTAGGACACCTGAATTGTTCCTAATTTGCTAAGATTATGCTGGATCTGGTTGCCAGAGTAGCATCACAAATAGGTACAATCACATGTTGATTAGGGCTCCTCATTTTCAGAATTCTCTCCAGTATAAAGGAAACAAAGATTTATGTATGTATGTATGTATGTATCATATTTATACAGCCACCCATCTCACAGAATGCGACTCTGGGTGGCCTCCATAAAAACTATTTTAAAAAACATTCAACAAATACAAAAATTAGAACTATTATTAAAAGGCTAGGAGTGTGTGTCAGATATCACAAACAATGGAATCACAAAATGCTCAGGCAAATACTTTCATTTTCCCATCCTGCATCCACACTTTACCTGTTCCTGCATTCCTTCCCTTAAATGCTCTTAAATTTTGCTTCTTAATCCAGTTCTCAACTGACATTTATTGCACACGTGCTTCATTTTACCTTTCTGCTAAAATTGCCCAAAGCAGCTGGCAGCAAACTATTAAAACACTGTTTTTTAAAAACTAACAGAACACCTCTGTAAATAGAGATAAGATGGACTATAAAGAATTTATCCCAGCTTCTCCATCCCAGCGATCTCCAGATGTTGGCCTATTGATTATCTGATTCACAAAAACAGGTGTAATTGCAGTATCATTTTAAGTCAAGACTACTTAAAAGAAATCTCTGAGAGTTTCTTGAGGTCTTCAGACAATGCTCTAACCTCAGTGTTAAACCTGATCTGGGGGGCACCTAGTTTGGGAACTGTGAACAGGGGGGGACTTCTCATCACTGTAGTTGTCCCTCTCCATTTTCAGGGTTCCATCATCAATTCATTTCAAATATCTGCAATAAACTTTTTTTTTCCACAGCACCTTCTGTCATGGGGATCTCCTTAGGCCATCATATGGAATAATCAAGGGATAAGAAATTCACAGTGCAATCCCATTCGTATTTACTCAAAGAAAAATCTTGGAGGAAGTCCCACTGAACTTAACAGGAATTAAATATGCACCAGATTATGCTGTTAGTGATTGGATGTGTGTGTGAATAAATTTCATTCTGGGCTGAGCATGTACGTATGCATGCGCTCATGTGGTGTTTATGGAAATTAAGGCTCTGTTTGGGCAGTGTTTCCTTTGGTACCCCGAAATCATCTTATTCTTTTAGCCTTCTGTGAAAATGAAACAGGAAGCATTGATGGTTCCAGACTTAGTGGCACACTGAGTTGCATTGTTCTTCAATATCTATCCTAATTTTGGAAGAAGCAGTCCTCGGCGCTGTTGTCAGAATCAAATTCAGCGTAGCATCATGCACATTCCAATAGTGAATACGAGGCTCTCAAGTACCCCCCCAAATAGCACTCTGTAGGTGCCGCTCCTTGCTGAGGCTGGGGGGCTTAGCTGTAAGTGACAGGTTTGATCAAGCTGCTCAAATGGGATTTCCACTTCACTTGCCTTCTCCTGCAAGTTCTTCTTCACCTAGGAAAGTTCAGAGTTAGGGCAAAACCCACAAATCCCTTTGTATGAAATACAAATATCTGAAATGTCTAGATCTACTACTGTACCTGATAATGCCCTACTGCTCATTAAGATCTCTACCTAAACTCTAGGTCATCTTTCTCCTGCTTGACACCTTCCAGATGTGCTGGACTAGAACCCCCAAGGTACCAAGCCAGGGAAGGGGAATATAGCTGAGCTGGTTAGGGTGATGTCTTTGGTCTCCAAAATCTTGCAGGATGTCAAGTATGCGAAATGATCAAAGAAAAGATCCTGTTCAGAGAGCCAGCACATTTTCTGTGTATCACTTCTTATGCAGCCAAGGTGGCCCTTTTCACACGAGAGAGAGGGATCAGTTCACTCTGGAGCAACAAGTCTTACAACAAGCTTTCTCCAAAAATCTTTAGGGAGAAAAATGTAATGGAATAAAAATGGCCAGAGCAGCTTAATAAAAACAGGTCATGCTAGTTGATTGTTTGAGGCAGAAACCAAGAAAATCTGTGTGTGTGTGTGCGCGCGCGTGCACGTATACTTGTGCATGTATATAGGTGGGTAGGTGGAATGCGGTGAATGGGATGGAATAGCTTGGCCAGGGGCATAACAACCTGACTAGAATTATAATGAAGAGGACGTCATGCTGCAGAATTTCATTGCAGAATCTTTTTGTGCAACATAATGTATATTTGTATTGTGGTTATATCTGCTGTTAGCCAAGATTGTCACAGATGTGCAGTCCTTGGTGCTGTCTGAACTTGACTGCTTGCAGACATTTCATTACCCAACTGGGTAACATCAGCAGTGCGAGTAAGAGTGGGGTTCTGCTCCTGTTTATATACAGTAGCTCCATAGTTGGGTAATGAAATGGCTACAAACAAACTGAGCTCAGAGAGCGCCAAGGACTCCACAGTTCAATCCTGAACTACATATAATCTCTTCTATTGGATTGTCACAGATGGAACCTCTCTAGTCAAAGGCAGTATATCACTGATTAACCACTGTCAGGGACAAACAGCAAAGGATGGTGATCTTAACAGCCATACCTCTCTCTGAATCCTGTGATCTTTGAGCACTGAGGGCAATTTTTTTCCCCCTCTTATTTCCTCAAAATACTCTGCATATACTTTGAGCAATCTACACAATTGTTCATACATTTCCATTCATTATTTACACCTAAACCTTGCTAGCTTAATATCCTTTTGGCAGAAAGGTAGGTAACAATAATAATTACCCTCCAAATGTGCTGGAATATGAGTCCCCAAATCCCTAACAGATGGAGGTCATCAAGTTAAAGACAGATGATATCAATTAAGAGATGCAAAGACTCCATGTAGACCACCAGCATCATTTTCTGGCCCTCAGACATAATTAATAATGTCTGTTAATAATTAGGTCTAAAAATTGGAGATCGCTTTTGCATTTGGGGAGAAAAAATGGGTGCAGATGCTTAAAGGTCTAAATTCATCCATTAGAACTGCTAAGCTCCCATCTCAAATATGTCCCGGTTCAGTCAATTTTTGAAGTAGGGCTTTCATGTGACACCAAGCTCACTGCCATTCTTGAATTAATAGAAGTTGCATTTCATGATGTTGATGGACAATTTAAGATTGTTACCACAGACTCAAAGATCTTTGGGGATGTCCAATATCCTAGATCGTCAATAATTAACACTACTAAAGAGCAAAACTAAAACTCAATATCTCTCGCAATGGAAAAACTCTTACATCTTCTACTTCCTTGAAAACTCGAAGTAAGTTCTCTCTTAAAACCCCACGAAGTTCTGTCTTGGTCCAACCTCTCCTCAGCAGTTCTTCAATTAAAGCTGGATATTTTGAAACATCTTCCAGCCCCGCAGGAAATCTGTGGGTGAAAACGTGATTGACACGAACTAAATATATCTTTCTTAGTAAAAACACAGGCAGAATAGGAACTCTATTTAACTCTCTTTACTTAAATTCATTGTCATCTTTTGCTACTAGTAAAATGGCTGTTCATAAGAGATTCACAAGCTTTTTACAAATAACTCCAATAATTTCATCCAGTTATACTATTTGACATTTTTTTAATAGAATGGTTCATAGGATCTAAATGATTTTTAGAAATGATATGCCAAACGCGGGGGGGGGGGTCCCTTCTGAGTAGAACAAGGCCAGTGATTTAAAGATCTGCATGACATTCTCACACCATGAAACTATCATTCAGTCAATGAAGGATTCTCCTGAAAAATGTTATAGCAATGCTATAACTAGCCTTGTTCCCCATATCTACTCTGTGGGGGAAGGACTAAAGATGCCTTTGCAGATACAAAAAGCTATCAGAGTAGTAGGTGAATCTTAATTCAAGACTGCTGATAGGACATAGAATATCATAGTCAACAGCTGATTGTCATATATGTGCAATTCTGCTTAGCCATTACTCATTGTTTACTCAAAGGTGATGCCAGCATGCACCACAAAGCTTGCTATCTAATTTAGGAAAGAATACTTCCCTCCCTCCCTAATAGGACAGCTAGGTCTGGGCCACAAAAACCTGATAGCCAGGTTTAACCCCAATAGAGTTAAAGCTTTCTGCCATCAAATGATAATCTGGCATTTTGTAGCTTAGATCTGCTGGTCCAACTCTTTGCCTGCTTGGTCAAAGCTCTTTCTCAGCTTCAGAGCTTCTAAGAAATTGGGACAGATCACTAGGCAAAACAGCCAATCCAAGGTAACCTACGGGCTCAGAAGAATGGGAGAGGTCAGGGAGCTTTGTACCTGCTTCCTAAAATGATGAGCTCACCCCTCATAATGGCCAGGCTAAACCAGGTAGGCTGATCTACCTTGAAGTCTGACATTACTATATAATTAACTGCTACTGGTGGTGGTGGAGAAATGCATTAGGAAATGGTCAAAATGAGTCATTTGACCTTCTGTGAAGGAAGCTAGAGGCTTTTTAGCTCATTCCTTTTTGACATAACTTTTCTTAGAGCAGGGTTTCTCAACCTTGGCAGCTTTAAGCTGTGTGGACTTCAACTCCCAGAATTCCCCAGCCAG